AACCCTATAGGGGTTTAGGGGTTTAGGGTTTGGGGTTTAGGGGAGGGGTTTGGAGTAAAACCCAGAACCCTAAACCCAAAACCGTACCAAAGTAAGGATTCTTCGGGAATTCTGTTCGTTAGTAAGTATTCAGGGCTCGATCTTACCTATCTACTCCCACAAAGTCCAACGTACCTGTATAGTAGAATGTATGTAGGGCTTCAATATTAGGAATAGTTATTCTGATTTGGGAAAGTATCCCCTATGACAGTACCTAGGACCCCTTTGGAGTGCAAATCCGATCCTAAAGTATCCATACAGGAATAGACATGTGAGCCGTTATAGTCAACAAGATGTTATGAGGGCCTATACTGTAGGGGACCTTAACACTTAGAAAAGAGGCTTTGGGCTCCTTTACAATCAAGAGCCCTAACTACTAAAGCAGTACTTGCAGAGTCTTGTCGAGGGCTCAGGGGCTGTAAGAAGGGCTACAAAAAGCCCTAACGTATGGGCGTGGTCATGGGTGAAGGGACTCTACAGTTAGAACCTAAACCCTGAACCCCTAAACCTTAAACCCCTAAACCCTAAACCTTAAGACTCGACAGTTATAATTGTTTAGAGAATCTCGGAGGTTGTGGTATGGAGTACAACAGGGTTGGATTCATTTGGCTACCATAAACTGCCATAACCTACTCTCTGATAGGTTCTTTGTCATAAACCCTAATCTGGATTTTCTGGAAACCCTATCAAAAAACAGGTCTTGGTAGTGTTAAGTTCTGGGATACATGGCTTTCGCGATTCTAGCGGCTTCTGGGCTGGATGTACGGCTCCAATTTTAGGTGCTATTTCTCTGTTGGCGTTTCGGATTTCGCGGCTTTTGGACTCACCAGTCGTTTATGTGCTTCGGAGTTTGACTGTGGCTTTTAGATTTCGCGGTCTAGCCACTGCTTCAAGGCTTTTGTTCAGGTACTATACGGTCCAAGCATTCTCTATGCTCTAGGCCTAACAGAGGGTAAAGCTGCAACTCTTCATGAGCACGTGCACATGGACCCATGTGCCTGGGGGCTTCGGACGCAGCATGCGTTGGATTTGAAGTTCCCACGCTTCCCACATCAAAACCAGCCCTTAACCCAACACCCCAAACCCTAAACTTGCCCTAAACCCTAAACCCTATAGCCTTAACACAAAACCCCAAACCCTAGACCCTAAGCCCTAAACCCTATAAGCCCTAAGCCCATAGCCCAAAACCCCTCTCCTCTCCCAGGAGGGAGTCAGATCGCTCCAGGTACCGCTGGAGGGCCTGGAGAGTTCGTTCATCACCCTCCTGGGCTGCTTTTCAAGGCTTCATAAGGGCCTTCTATGAGGGTTCTATAGGGGATCTGTACCCTAAACCCTAAACCCTAAACCCTAAGACCCTAAGAGTAGGGCGAGTAGGGTTTAGGGCTTAGCGTTCAGGGAGTAGGGTTTAGGTTCAGGTTTCACGGATATAGGATTAGGGCTCGAGCATTTCGGGCCATTACGGCCTTTGAGTCCTGAACCCGGTACGGGGCATCGAGGGTAGGGTTTGGGTTTGGGTTTAGGGTATTGAGGTCTTTGGCCTAGGGATGCGTTCACGGCATAGGGATTCTTGGGCTTAGGGTGTCGGCTGACGGCTTTCCCGGTTGCACGGCTAGTCCTCCTAAAGTAAATTCCGCCGCACTGCGGGACATCCCAGCCCACCGTAACATCCAAAAACCTATTGCCGTAAAACCTTGAAGCCCAAATGCTTACAGAACTGTTTTCCAAAACGCAATTCTGATGACTAAAACCCCTACATATTGGACACGCTCAAAAAATTGAAAATGTTGCTCAGTAACAGCATAGCTTCGGGCGCCTGGTTGCTCCTCGGCTGTTTCTTCGCTTCAATGTTCGTAGTTGGGGCTTGGGGTTTAGGGTTTAGGGTTAGGGTTAGAAAACCGGGAATCATCATACAGAACCCTAAGACGGTGGGTTTTCTAGGACCAGGATACGGCTAGCCCTAGACCCTGAACCCTATACTACATGGGATCTCCGGGGGCGACAGGGGCAGGGGCTTCCGGTTGAAGTTATATATATATATATACATATATATATATATACATACACATAAGAGTGGGTCTAGGGTTTGGGGTTGAGGGTTTAGAATTTGGGGTTCAGGTTTTGGGGTTTAGGGTTTCAGGTTGAGGTCTCACAGTTGTGTGCTAGGGTTCTGGACAATGTCATATCCTTCCTCCCTCAACGCAAACGTGGAGACGAGACGACCTGTAGCCGAACAAAACCCACCTTTTTAGGGTTCCTATATGCAAGCCTTAAGAATAGCCAGAACCCGGAACCCCGAGTCCTTAGCCCACTAAACCCTCAACCGCCACAGGGACTGCCCTGAACCCTAAATACCCTAAACCGTGACGGAAACCTAAACACCCTAAACACCCTGAACGGTTTGGGGCTTAAGGTTTATAGGGTTGGACGGGTTCAGGGCTTCGCTAAACCCTAAAATTGACTACCCACCAAGGCGCAGAGCTTGGATGACCGCCATCTTTTTCAAGCCGTTGTCCTCGACCGGCTTGTGCTTTCATTTTACATTATAAAGTATAGGCTTTAGTTTATATGCCATGTGTTATGCATGAAAAAGCTTGTAATTTTTAGGTTGTAATATGTTACAGACTATGATTCATCATGAACTACGTGTTAGATTATATTTATATTTATATGATATGGGGTTTAGGGTTAGAGTTGAGGGCCCAGGGTCTTGGTCTTTGCCTTTGCGTTTTGCAGCTTTGCCTTTGCATTTTTCCGTTGCTGCGAGGAAGCAGCATCGCCACCAGCTTCGGGTAGTTTTTCTGAATTTCTGCAGTTTTAGTTCCTTGTGCACGATATGGAAGGAATTAGACCCTGCCAGTGCCGTGGAGTTTAAGTGGCTTTCGAGATTCAAGGCTTCACATGGTCTGTGTCGCATGTTGTCCCGCTGGCCATTGACGAGAGCACCATCGATTCTGGTTTCCGTAAACCCAAGGCCCCAAAGCCAAGACAACACCTGAACACCCTCGACAATCTCAGCTGAGGATTTCAAGCTCAAATGCCCAATATTCTGATCCTCAATTGCGGATACTAACTGAACTGCCCCCAACCTTCAACATCCGAAGAAAGCACACAGTCTTAACCCAAGGACAGTTGCCCTAAACCATGAACCCTAGACCCTAAACTCTAAAACGGTTAAACCCTAAACCCTAAATCCTCGATTCCGGACCTTAAGCCCTAAACCCCAAACCAGGGTTCAGGGCGCGCAAATCCCTGAGCCAGCCTTCTCCAGCTCTGAGCACAGGGTGCTCACCACCTGGGGGGTGCTGCTGTGCGGTTTGAGGTTTAGGGTTTAGGGTCTCGGGTTTAGCGTTTAGGGTCTAGGGTTTAGGGCCTAGAATTTCCAAAATCCCGGAATGCAGGATGGCAGGAACTCTCCTTCAACCATCACAGAGCTCGGCTCGACAAGAGGAGCCTTAATTGAGGGGTCGGGTCTTTTTGGTAGAAGCCTAATAAACCCTAACCCTAAAACCCTAAACCCTAAACTCTGGAAGCCTTTTCCATCCCTTGAAGACGAATCGTTGGAATCTATCGCTAAAATCGGGCTGAAGGCGGTACAAAGCGGTACGCCTTCCTAAAGTCACGGTTTGGGGTTTATCCATAGGCTGCATAGTAGTTCCTTTTTGGGGTTCATATTTAGAATCCTATTAGGTAACCCCCAAAAGGAACTACTATCGGGCCTATGGGTAAGGCTTAGAGGCAAAATGGCAGACTCCGACCCCACCTCGCCCAGAGAACTCGGTAACTGGATGGCAAAGCTTTGAAGTAGCACAATCAAGTCCTTCACGCTTGGAGCGGTTTGGAGCTTTCGGATGGAGCGACCGAACCCTGCACTTAGGCTGTGAGGCTTCATCTTATCCCTTATAGTACCCTTAGAACAATAATCCTATAGAAACCCTTGTAGATCCTTTTCAGAAACGCTAAAATGAACCCTACTTTAGAAAACTACTCATGTAGCGGAGTGGGGTCTGCAGGGCCTACTCCAGATGTCTGGGTGGCTTTGGAGGTTGAGGGGGAGCTCAGGGTTTAGGGTGTAGGGCTTTCGGGATTTAGGGTTTAGGTGTTGGGCTTTAGGGTTTTAGGGTTCAGGGTGTAGGGCTTTAGGGTTTTAGGGTTTAGGGTGTACGGCTGTAAACCCTGTACTGTATCATCCGGAGCTTGCAGCAAGCTTTTTGGGGATGACGGGCATTTAGGCATTCACCATAGGGCTTTTGAGGGGTACGTACTGTATTTTCTGACTTAACAGAAAGGAACTATATGGGCACATTCGGCCGAATCTTCCAGAACTCCGCATTAACGCCTAACGTCGTGACCTTGGTGTCATGACTTCTCGATAGAATGCCATGTTCATGTCTTGGTCCACGATACAGTCCCTGCTGGACAAAGGGTTCTTTTCATGGCCTCCCCCTTACCTTCCAAAATATTAGCAAAGCCTGCCCACAAAACACTCAAAGTGGATGGATGTCTAGGATTGACACAAGACTGGTCCGTCTCAGGTTCCACGTCTCAAGGCTTGAAACACCCTGAAATTCGCCAGGCTTAAAGCTTTCTCAGTGTAGCCCTGAACCCGGCTCCTCGCCATCCATGTGCTCCGCGCATTTCCGCATGGCTGCCACTACATCCGCATCCTCTTCTCATGTAGCAGATCGATTTGGATGAAGCCCCTACAGCACGGGTCCAAGTAGGGCTTCAGGTACGAGGTAAGGAGGGCCATTCAGATTACTTCGTCACTTGGGCCCCTGGAGGATATACATAATTACACCTGGATATTCTCGACGGGGACGAGTGTCTGCATATTTGGGAACTCCTGTTTCCTTATTGCCTGTAACAGGGATCAACCCAACAGAGCAGGTCAAGGACACACCAAAACAAATGCCCACAAGGCCCGAAACACTACCACTCTCCAACCGCCGCAAAGGCCGACACCCCCTAAGACCTTAACCCTACGCCCTCAACCCCGAAAGCTCAATCCGTTCGACAGTTTCCCAAAAAAAAGATCGACTTCTACTAGAGACTTTAATTGTGGATGCACTCACGAGGACGGGTCCTCCTGTCGTAGAAGCTTGGCAGCCAACTCAGCTGCAAGCAACTGCATCCAGACAGGCCTGCGAGGGTTGTCCAAGACATCGTTGTAAAAAGACCAATAACATGTTATAGGATGTTTTGGGGATTCTTAACTAGCTTGACAGGATTGTTTGCGGGTTTCATACGGGCTCGGGGGGGGTGTTCTAAAGGTCTTATTCGACTTCGCAGCAGGAAACTGGCAAGCAAAGCAAGAACCTACCATTCAGGACGTACTGTGCTATTTTGACGACATGTATGTTATATATCTAAACCTACCTTCCCATGTGCCCATGGACTACTACAGAAGTAACCCAGTAGGATCCTCTCCGTGCACAGCCCTCAAGAAACTTCGGAATCGGCATGTCAACAACAGACTCGGACCATATCTTGGATTTAGTGCTCAGAGTCTCAGAGTTTTAGGGGTCAGCGACCGTCGCCCCAGTTGGGTGTAGATATTAACCCCGAAACCAATGGCAGGAAAATCACACCATTTCAGCCTGCATATTTCGAATCCGCCCCCGCAGTGCCGCCTGTTGCTCCGACCAGGTAGATTTTCCTGAAAAACCCAAAGCCGAGCCTATCCTGAACCTCACACTCTTGCCCTACAAACCCGCCGCAACCCTTCACCTCAAAACATGTTCCATAATCCGGAACATCTTTAACCTAGAGACCACATGCCCCTTCCATTCCAAAGTACGTATTCCTCAAAGTCTAAAACCCTATGACCCCGCACCCCTAAACCCCAAACCGCAAGCAGGAAACATAGGTC